ACACTGTATATATATATAACCCAAGACATGATAGTGAGTGAGAATCATTCAGACTCAAGGAGCATCTCTCCACTGGCTGTGGGTTATTTCACATCAACATGTATATAAACGCACCCGAATCGTGCAATTTCATGTTTTTATTTTGCTTTTTAATAAGGAGTGGTCTGACTTTGAAGAACGATGCTACGGAGATTTTCTACTCTCATGTGGCCAGTCCCGTGCAGGATGCTCAGAGCAACGCGTCTCTGAATCGCGCGCGCTCCGGTGGAAGAGGCTTCACAGCGCACGAGAGAGGTGAGTTCATGCGCCCCACTTACGACACTAGATTGCTTATTAATCATATATTGCAGTCTTTCTTCTTAAGAAATTGTGTTTAAAGCTACGTTTAATTTACAATTAACATTTAAAATAAAATGTTGTATTGGCATTCCCAATATAAAGTGAGAATTTTGTTTGGTTTGCATTTCTTCACACGTTTGATGTAATATCAATTACGCTGAACAAATGGTCAGATCTATTTTCTAATTTTTTTTATTTAACCTCACTGAATCAATCGATATAGGTTACATTAATTTATACAGAAACAACAAACTTTTATGGGTTAAATTCAGTTCTTTGAGGTACAAATGGCAAGCTACTACTTTTTATATATATTTTTTAGCAACCTGAAAATAGTTACGTTATCTTATAACCAAATATTGGTTTCCATTATTTGTTTTTGATCAGGTGAAGTAAATGTTTTAATATTTACAGTATGTGCTCATTCATAAAATAGAAAGCAAACAGAACAGGTGATTTTATCCATATAGTGATTATGGTAGGGGAGACTGGGGCTAGTTGTCACACTTTGAATATTTATTTCAGAAGTTTGTCTCTAAAGGTCATTTTCTGTATAGACATATGTCAATCAATCAATCAGTCAATCAATTAATCAATCAATCAGTTAAACTTGTCATCTTTGCCACACCTTTGTCGTTTTCACCTCATTTTTAGTAAACAGATCGAATCAACTTGCCAGACAGATTGATTGTTGATTAACTGCTGCTTAAATGAGGAAATAATGTTTTCTTTTACACTTTTCGTAAGTAATTTTCACAATAAATATTTTGTGGGCAGATTATGCTTGCAACACCCTTTAAAAAAATCATGGACAAAGTCTGCTTACATAAAGTGCTGAGTGTTTAACGGCGCAAAAACATCTCTAAGTGAATTAGGGGCTCTCAGGGAGTCCAGTACGCATTCATTTGACTCCAGATGTTGGAGCACCTCACAGGGTCGAGTGCTTCTCTGGGTGTGGTTTAGGGGAGAGACTGCGCTTGTTTTATCATTCCGCTCACCTGAGCCTTTGCCAAAACTGGAGGCGGGAGCGTATATATACACTGTATATATATATAACCCAAGACATGATAGTGAGTGAGAATCATTCAGACTCAAGGAGCATCTCTCCACTGGCTGTGGGTTATTTCACATCAACATGTATATAAACGCACCCGAATCGTGCAATTTCATGTTTTTATTTTGCTTTTTAATAAGGAGTGGTCTGACTTTGAAGAACGATGCTACGGAGATTTTCTACTCTCATGTGGCCAGTCCCGTGCAGGATGCTCAGAGCAACGCGTCTCTGAATCGCGCGCGCTCCGGTGGAAGAGGCTTCACAGCGCACGAGAGAGGTGAGTTCATGCGCCCCACTTACGACACTAGATTGCTTATTAATCATATATTGCAGTCTTTCTTCTTAAGAAATTGTGTTTAAAGCTACGTTTAATTTACAATTAACATTTAAAATAAAATGTTGTATTGGCATTCCCAATATAAAGTGAGAATTTTGTTTGGTTTGCATTTCTTCACACGTTTGATGTAATATCAATTACGCTGAACAAATGGTCAGATCTATTTTCTAATTTTTTTTATTTAACCTCACTGAATCAATCGATATAGGTTACATTAATTTATACAGAAACAACAAACTTTTATGGGTTAAATTCAGTTCTTTGAGGTACAAATGGCAAGCTACTACTTTTTATATATATTTTTTAGCAACCTGAAAATAGTTACGTTATCTTATAACCAAATATTGGTTTCCATTATTTGTTTTTGATCAGGTGAAGTAAATGTTTTAATATTTACAGTATGTGCTCATTCATAAAATAGAAAGCAAACAGAACAGGTGATTTTATCCATATAGTGATTATGGTAGGGGAGACTGGGGCTAGTTGTCACACTTTGAATATTTATTTCAGAAGTTTGTCTCTAAAGGTCATTTTCTGTATAGACATATGTTGAAGACTTGGCCATCTTCCACTGTAATTGCCCAGGAAATAGATACAGGCCATTTAACATATGTTTATGTGTAGTGGGGCATGTTGTCACAGTGAAACCCACCATTAAATAGACTATTATTGACTTTTCAGCAAACTTTAAGCAGTAATGAATCATGAAACACCATTTCAATTAACATTGAAATGTATTAATGATATGCAATTAATTGGATGTTCCAATCTAAGGGAGAAAGTTAGCTATGCATGTTAGCTATGCATATGGAAATGATATGGTTTACACATTCTCTTGGTTCACAACCACATCGAGCAGCAGAGATAAAAGAGTGCCAAGCACAATGTCCTCTGATTGAATCTTGTCAGATTTGGAGAGTGGAGGTGCAGCTCAGCTTTTCAGGAATCTCCAGGGGGAACCGTGTTTGTTTTTGGAACAACCGTAACTTGAAGTGGGGAGAAAGAAAAAGTCCCTCCGATCCCCATTCATTACGTCCTGTCATGGAGAGGGGGGCACATTGTAACTGAGGTTTGTTGCTGCTGTGTGAATGGATTTTGGCTTGGGTTACGCTGACAGGAGGCTCTTCTTCGAGGCAGAACAATACTGACAGTATAGCCAGCAGCACCGGCGAAATCTGAAAATAAGAGGCTCAGAGTCGTCATTCATCTGTACGCTAAACCAACCGATCAGTTCAGATAAGGGCTTAAGTAAAGCAAACCAAGCATATCATCCATGCCACTGTTGTTTATGTCTGCTCACCAACCGTGAAGAAACAGCACCAAGGTGAATCCTATCATAGATCTTAAAAGACTTGAGTTTATCTGATATTGATATGCAAAGTTGACTAAATATTATTTATCACTTTGTGTTACAGAACAAATCCCAGTCGGCTGCAGAGAGCTGCGATCCACAAAGTACATCTCTGATGGCCAGTGCACCAGCACAAACCCTGTTAAGGAACTGGTGTGCACAGGACAGTGTCTTCCAGCTCAGATGCTGCCCAACTGGATCGGCGGATATGGTAGGAAGTTCTGGAACCGCCGAAACAGTCAGGACTGGCGCTGCGTGAACGACAAGACCCGCACCCAGCGGATTCAGCTCCAGTGTCAGGATGGCAGCACCAGGACCTACAAGATCACAGTGGTGACCTCCTGCAAATGCAAAAGATACACGAGGCAGCATAACGAATCGGGGGTCAAGTCTGAGGGATACGCTCATACCCAGATAAAAAAGCAAAAGAACAAAGGGGGCACCAGGACGGAAAGCTAAATGAGTCTGTGCTCGGACTGAGCTAGATTTTTCCTTTTAAAAGAACTCAGTATGAACGAGAGAGCTTGTGACGTCAGCTCACAGGAGCACTGAACTTTCTTTGTGCTGCCTTTGAGAGCAAGTGCAGGGCTCTGAGTTCACTGTGAAACCAGATGTCCACTGCAGTCTTCGGAAAGAAGAGAAAATAAAGACTAAATATCATCACCAATATAATCTCAATCAACATGCAACCAGTAGTGAAGACCCGTCCATAATAACGTCAAAGAGACTGACAATGACAACTGCATATTACATTACAAATATGTTTTTTGTCGTCACTGCCTGATGTGTGTGGTAATCACTTGCTGTGGTATATACTGTAAGTCTTTGTGTTCAGCAACAATAAGAGCAGTTCTCAAACCCGGGAAATGCATGGCTACATGTAAATTAAATGTCTGTACATATACATATGCAATTGTTTATGTAATTGATTGTTTTGCAGGACCTTTATGTGTAATATTGTGACGTATAAGCTGATGTAATATATTTTACCTTGACTTTGCTCTGACTTTGAAACATTTTTAGTTTGTACAAGCATTATTCGGACAATATATTGCACTATAGTGACAATGCTCATATTGGCTATTATGGTGTAAAAGCATTAAAATTAAAACACCTAAAAATGTCTGAGTATATTTTACATCTGCATGAGGTGACATTTTGAACTCCAAATGATGCCTATTAACTGAACTACAAGGTCCATTAAATCAATATATTAACATGCCTAATTTTTGTTTCATGCATAACAAACATGGTTTATATAAAATAAACTAAAGAACAGGTGAGGAAATTCTTTGTAAAAATAGTGAAAATTATTATCGAACTAAGTTTATCATTAATAATAATTAAAAATAACATTTTAAATGCCTCTTTCATGTGCAAACAGGCATATAAAGACAAGGTGGTGTTAACAGGCAATATTTAATAATTTACATTTTCACCAACTGTCAATCATCAGCTGTCATCACAGAAAGACCATAGTCTTTTTAGACAAGCCATTTAAAACTAGTTAACTTCTATTTTGAATTAGTAACCACATGCAAGTGTATTATATGTACTCATTTTACTATTGCTTATAGTTTCTTTTTCAATAAAATGGAAATGACTATTAATCATGTACTATTTATTATTTAGTTTACTGTAACAATTTAAATAGTCAGTTTTCCAGTATTAATCGAATAAACCCTAGTATAATTAATTAATAGTAACATGATGTCTAATTTTAAAGTGAACTCTTAAGTCATTCTGACTCATAACAAAAAGTGACAAAATAAATTTACAATGAACAATTTTAGAGTTACTAGTAACTTGTTTTAATACAACTATTTAAAAAAAATGCCTGTAACTAGGCATACTAGTAGCTAATGATTAGTAGATACTAGTTAAAGAACGTTAAAGAAATACATGTTAAAACGGCGTGCCATAATTCGGTAAAAGTTAACATAAATCCTGAACAAATATTGAAATGTCCTTGTCCAGAAAAAAATATACAGTTTATATTTCACATGTTGACCTGTTGTGCATGTATTTTGATTCGGAATATAATTTTATAAAACATTAAATGATGCTATACAATGAGATGAGATCCCAGCTGCTGGTATGAGTGGATAACAGGCTCACTCTGAGCAACAGCGGGAAAGCTGCAACACTACTGCCGCGAAACATAGCTCAAATCACCCGCCGAAAGGCGATGCAGAAAGTCTGTTAACAGCTTCTTCCCATGAACACGGCTGCCACAAGCGAGGAGCTTATTAGGACGCTGGAGAAATGCAGCAGCAGCGCTGTTCTTCCTCCGACAGGCCTCTGGATCCCGGCTGTCTGCTGGAACGCGACGCCGAGCGGAGCGCGGACCGGCTCGGTTGCGCGGCGGTGGATTTCCCGGTAGCTGTAGTTCTTCCCGCCGGTGGCTCTGGGGAAAGAATGGGACTGGCCACACCGAAACAATTCTGCACCATTCTCAACAGACCTCTGATAAGCTTTACGATTCAAGCGTTTGAGAGGTGAGACTTGATATTCCGAGCACATTAAACTGATTGTATTAACCTGCATACTTGACACGTAAGTTTGTTATTTGCAGACGAAAACAGAACAACAATAAATCATTATGCCTGTCACAATTACGTCCGTTAGTTTGACAACTGGACTTTTCTCCTCCCAAGTAAACAGGCAGCAGTCCAAGGACACCTACTACATGTAGATCTTGTCCAGAACAGCTTTTCAATCCTTATTAAGAACATCTGCAGATGCTGCAAGACTTGGGAAAGGCTAAAAGCAATTGACATTGACTATGAAGTAAAAGGTTGCTGTGAGTTTCATATTCAAAAAGCTGTCACTTCGATTTTCAGGGACAAAAGCATAAACGTAGAGCTGTTGTAATTCATTTTTGGAACATTACATTTCAGTGTCCAGACTATTTGACAGATGTGGCCTAAATTAGCATACCTGAAATATTAAATTACACTTCTCTCTGTGTTCTAATATATGTGCATCCTTACACACTAGTATGCAGAAAACAGCATATCAGAAGAATAGGATGTAAGTAAACAGTACTGTACACCGATGGTCTACTGCAAGTTATTTAATTTGTTAATGTATTCCTACGTAGTTCTTTCATGGTTGAGAACTTAATTAAATTCAATACACAGGTTGCATTGAAAATCACATACCGTGATAACTGAGTAGGTATTTCTATTAAATAAGTACTTACTTCATGTATGTTCTGTATATTATGAATGTGTGTGTAATGTTATTGGCATAAGTACCTCTGGATACTTTTTGCTTACTGTTTTATGAATACTATGAATTTAGAGACTACTACTCTTGAAGGGTACAACTGATGGACACTTCGCTCCCATGATTCTTTGCACACGTTTAATTTGTTAAACCTTAATTGGCTTGGCAAGATGACGCAGATGTGCGTTCCAAGGAACAGTTTTATGGTCCCCTACACCAGGGGTTCTCAACTCTGGCCCTCAAGACCCATTTTTCTGCTGAGTTTAGCTCCAACCTTTAGCTGTTTAATTAGGTTTGGAGCTAAACTCTGCAGGAAAGTGGATCTCGTAGTTGAGAACCCCTGCCCTCTGGAAAGAATAGGGATGAGTATGAGAATAAATATAATAAATAAATAAAAAAACAGAACACCCACGCGAATGTATAACTAACAATGCGCTCAAATGCTCAAAACATCTTACAAGCTGCTTAACAACACACTGACAGCCAACAACAACATCCTAGGCTAGGATTCCTAGCATTGTGGAGGGTTTACAAAGGGTCATATGGAAATTTAGCAGTTTTTGTAATTTCGTTTGATGACACGAGGCACTTACAGCCAGTGTTATTATCATTAAGTAAAAATATTATTATTTATTTATTTTTTGTTAATTGAAAGACAGCAGAAATCAAATTTCTAATGTGTAAGGAAAAACTTTAAATGAAATTGAGAAATGCCGCCTTGGCAGCTAACTGACATTACTAAATAGAAATAAAAACTAAAACTTGAACTATAACTAAAACAAAAACAGATGAAAATAAATGAAACCTAAATACACACGCTTGTTTGTCAAAATGCTCGTCTTTACAAGTATCCTCGTAAACACAATAATTTAGGTCTTAAGTGAAAGCAAACAGTTGAGAAAGAAAACATGTGTAGCAGTATATTGGATCCAGGCAGCTCTTAAAGTGTCATTTATGTTAATCAAACAACAAAAGACTCACTGCTCTTGACTAAATCACTTTTGTAACTTTAATAAGAAGAAATATATATGTAATTTACACAGTGAGGAATATGCAGTTTTATATGTATATTTGATTACTTTATACAATATATGTAGCATTTCTTATTTATTTGTTCTATTGTAGTTTGACATTGGTGACATGAATTTGACATTTCTATGGCATCAAAAATTAGACCTTAATTTAGACCTTATTTAAAGCAGAAATAACTGTATCGTGATATATATCATTACCGTGAAATAAAATCACTCATATCGTGATATTAGATTTTGGTCATACCACCCACCCCTACCTAAATGGAAGTATTTAGAAAAAACAAAAACTAGAAAAAAAAGCACATAACGAAATTACTAAAAATTTTAATTATGTTGATTTAAAATATGAACAAAAACTATATTAATATGTAAGTAATACTAAAATAACTGCTTAAAGCAGTATAACATACAATTTGTTCCCTTACTCTATTGTCACAGCGATTATGTTGTTTCTTTTGATAGTATTTAAAACTTGATAAATGAAAGCTGTTTGTCTGCATTTTCTCGACAGGTTATCCTGGATTGGAACTGTTGTCGTTGTGGTTGCTAAGGAGAATCATGACTTGATGCTGAATATTGTCCAGAAATTTAATCACACAAAGGCAAAAGTAGTCCACGGGGGAACCACCAGACACAGGTCAATCTTCAGCGGACTTCAGGCCTTCAGCAGCACTACAGACTCACTGACGCCCAAACCAAAAGTGGTCATCATCCACGATGCCGTACGGCCCTTTGTGGAAGAAGATCTTTTGTTGAAAATCACCCTAGCAGCTAAAGAGCAAGGGGTTTGTTTTCTTTATCCAGATTTTGTTTCAAAAATTTGTATGGCATTTAATAACAGTTTGGAGAAAAAAAAAGAAAGAAAACCCCTACTGTATGTTTATTTATGCCCAAGAGAAATAATATATTCTATAATATAAAAGCCCCAAAATTGAGGTAAATTATATACAAGTTAAGATTTAATTCAAATATACCTTTTTTCCCCTTCTGTGGCTGTCATTTGGAATAATTCATTTTAAAACACTCCCTGAAATGTTTGTGGTGATGAATTTCCACACTATCTGAACACTCCCTCCCCTAATCTGCTGTACCACGGTTTACATATCTGTCAAATTTATGAGGTGAGTGAAAGTCAGACCACGTTAAGCCGTCGAAAGACAATTCCTGATGCAGGCTTCAGAGATATGCGTGAAGCTGTTATATAATAAATATGGAAAACTCCAATCAGCGAAACTTTTAAATATATGCTACAGAACAAGAATCCGCTACATATGTCCCATCCTTCCAAGGCAAACGTCATGAAATCTGCATCAGGAACAGAATAACTCGGCAGAAAGATGAGAAATCCAGCTTCGTTTGTGGTTTGACTGCATCGCGGGCTGTTCCAATGTCCATAAATCACTAAGATAAACATATTGTTGACACCTCTCAGCACTACCCCATACAGCATGAAACCGGATAAGATGTTTTAGCAATGTTTTTGCTGGCTTTGGTGCGTGAGTTTGAAGATTTCTGCGATTTTCTTCTAAATCTCCTCGCTAAGGCTGTGACAAGAGCTGGAAAGCAAAACCCATATGTTTATGAAGCACTCAAAAGAATATGAGAAGGATAGTGATTCATTGCCTGACCCTAATGCACCATTGTTTAGTAATCATGAATAAATAGATTTTTTAGAGGGCATGTTTTTACATTTTTAATGGTCCTATTGTCTACCTTGTTTTTTCAGGCCTCGGGAGCGATACGTCCTCTGGTGTCCACAGTCATTGCAACCACGTCAGAGGGCTACCTGGACCACTCGCTGGAGAGAGCAAAGTACAGAGCCAGTGAAATGCCTCAAGGATTTCTTTATGACATTATTTTCCAGGCCTACCAGCGGGTATGAGCAACCCAGACACATTTATTAGTTGGAACAAACCTCAGATTCAATGTGCAAAGTACATTAAAGTTGACTGTCACCTTGACATTCCCACAGTGACTTTTATGGTAATTTATGCATCTCAATATGTTTGTTTTTATATACACTTTTAAAAACAAACAAAAAAAGATTTATATAGAAAAGTATTTATGAAATGTTTAATATTATTATTATTATTATTAGTTTTATGCACCGATGTTGCCTTTTTAACCCTTTTTTTTTAGATTTTTCAATCTAACTATCTGTTTTATATACATTTTTTGTAAAATAATTTTTTTTAAATGTTTATATACATTTTTATTTAATATTTTAATATTTATATTTGATTTATGTATATTTCCTATTTGAACCCAATTTTCGAGGGGACACTTCTATCTCTGTTTTTGTTGTATGCATTTTAATAAAATTAATATAAATATAAATATTTATGTAATATGTAGCCTATAATAATTATTTTCTATTTATCTATAAATATATATTTATCTAATAATTGTTTATATATTTACTATTTAGATTTATGCACTGTTGGTACTGTTTGAGCCCAATTTTCTGAGAATTTTCAATCATAAAAATAAATAGTTAATATTTTATACATAAAAATGTATAGTTAATGAAATAAATAGTATATCTATCTATCTATCTATCTATCTATATATATATATATAGTATATTATATATATTTTTTTTAACCCAGTAGCCTTTGTGACTCTTCCATCACATGTATTTATTTTTTTATATAGTATCCAATGTGTTTGGAGCTTGGCACTTACTGCAAATATTACTTCACTGTGACAAAGAAACACTCAGTGTACAAATCTTGGACCAACTTGCCTCTTTTGTTCATTGTCCCTGAGATTTGCATAAACCCACCGGTTCTTCTGCTCTAAGGCACTGTGACTTTTATTATTATTCCCATGGTAGTTAGTTGTGTCAAAATAATAAATCATAATTGTTTAGTCTGGCCTAGGTTACATAGCTGACTGCAAGATCACAGTTTTATCGCAGTATTTCTTCTCAAGATCAACTCAAACAATGCTTTCACAGACATGCTGCTTTCTCATCCAGACTCATAACATTTCTCATGGAGGTGGAGTGTAGTGTATTTCATCATTTCATTTGAAATTTCATCATCATCATCATCATCATCATCTTTGGATCTGATTAAGCCTTTTGTCAAACTTTCGATAACAGTAACAGATAGAAGTGTTAAAAAGAAGCATTGAGATTTATAGGGCTGCTGAGAGGAGCATTTTTTGGGTGCCGAATTTTTTGCTTCTGGAAAACTTTGATTTCACAGTCTCGTTGTTTTTGGCTGCGATATCGAACATTAGCGTGAGTTTTCTGTGTCAAGTCACAGCTGTCTGTCCTCAATTAATTCTAAATAAAGATAAAACCATGATATGAAGGAATACAGAGGATGAGGCAATCTGAAGAATGGGTAATATCAAGCCCGCTTGGGTGTTACCTGACACTCCGGCTCTTCTGGGGCTTTTCTTCTCCAACCCCAACAGTGAAGGGTCTGCGAAGATTTATATGCTTCTCCTTGCTTTTTGAACCCAATTTTCTATGAGACTCTACCATCACGTGACATAAGGCAGTCCATACTTCTTTTTTTATGTAGCATTCAGCACATTTGACGCTTTTTACAATGGGGATTATTTCAGGTGGGTGTTTTGAGCAAGGGTTTTTAGATGTAGCCGACGGCCATGTGTCAAAACCCTCTCTGTGGTAGCCTCGAAATGACTGATGCCATTTCAGCATGCCATCCCATTGAATCTCGGAGAGCTTGAGCTTCACAAAAGAAGAGACATCCAACCCCGTAAGGGTCTAGCTGTGCGTTGATGGAAATGGGGGGCGGGGCGGGGGGGGGGGAGGCCCAAAGG